TGTGTGTGTGTGTGTGTGTGTGTGTTCATATTATCCATTTTCCAAATTTTCCTTCCAAAATTACGCAGAGCACAGCGCGTGAAAAATGAAACTGATGAGAGATGATCTAGCTTTGCGATAAAATCGCCGCTAGTTCGCTTCATATGCTACGTCGTTATTTAACCAATGTTTTTTAACGTAAGTCATTTAAATTTTTCACTGGAAAGATAAAAACATATGCAATAACGCAACCGCAAAGGCGAATTATAATTAAGTATAAGTTTAAGAACCACTAAAAGATGTTAAATTATAGCTGCGAGAGCTCGACGAGCCGTCAGACTACGAATCCACTACGTATATGGATAAAGTTGTTTTGTTTATTAGACTCATGACAAAAATATTGTAACAAAAACGACACAATAAACTATTCGAAAATTAAATCAAAATCATATGCTACGTCGCGTGGTGCTCATTAGTGGTGAGACAAGAGCAGAACGATTGGACGTCTGTCCTTTTCTAACTTACTATCATTATATGGAAGTTTACACTGCAAAAGTGCGTCTGACGGACGTAGGCGCATTTTGGTTAGATGACGTATCCAATAGCGTGTTCGACTGGTCCTGGGTTAATCGCTCCGAGAGCGATTAATGACGTCATAAGTCTCTACTAGCCAATTATAAAGCTTATAAGTACTTGTTCGACCAATAAACGTAGACTGAATGAACATAAATTAACCCAGAATGGGTTAACCTAGAGCCGGTCGAACATGCTATAAAATGCGCTTAGCTCAGGGGGTCGATCATGTATCTTTTCACCTAGGATGAATTCGTGAAAAAGTAAAAATTTTCACGTAAAGCAAAAAAGTGAAAATTCTAATGCGAAAAAGTGAAAAAATGAAAACTTTCATGCGAATTAATATTTCCCCTGAAAAGTAATATCCATATTCATAATAAGTTAATCAATTACGATGGCTGCTGCATGGTGGATAGTTAATGAGGAACAAAACAAAAGAAACGAGAATTTACGTATTATGCGTAAAATTTTAAGAGATACTCAAGATCCTTTTGATATCCTAAAGAAACAATTTCAGGAATTATATAGGTAATTATTATTAGATAATTATTATTAGGTAATAATTATTATTATATTATTGTAATTAATTTTATTATTTTATGTTTTGTTTGTGTGTTACATTCATTCTAAAAAAATAATATATAACATGAAGAAATATTATAAGCAAACATGAGAATATTTATAATCTATTATTTTCTCATTTTAATGTAATTATGCTCTATGCAAACGCGCTGGGTTGAGTTGATACATATACTATAGTAAAACTAACTCAACTCGACTCAACTCTGGGTGTTTCGGAAGCATCCATGGCTTAACATCCAACAAAGAAATCACTAAATTACTTTTATTTTACCATATAAATACTACAAATACGCACACTTACTTTTCACGTTTTAGCCTACACGGTTGATGGCTAAAACGTGAAAAATAATATAATACTATCATCATGTGCAAATATGTAAATTGTAATATTACGCGTATTCCACAATTCAAAACAATGTGCACAACTGCTTCAGTGAATTTTACTTTGTATGGTTGCATACTTTTTTAAAATTGAAATTATATGATAAAGAATTTTGCATAAAATATACAAAGAAAAGATTACAACAATATATTATGCATTATAAATACAGATGTGCATTAAATAAAACAAGTTTATAATAATTATTACAAATATTTAGAAATTGCTCACTTTTCACGATTTTATGCTAGGGAAAAAAGTTATATAAAAAGTTATATGATCGGTAGTCAAATTAAACTTACGTGAAAAGATTCATGATTGATGCCCTGGCCGCTGAATCAGGCCGGTGACCACTCTCAGGGTGGAGTCTCATGGCATGTATTTTCCGCGTACCGCGTAAGCGCGTAACTAATAAATTGCGACGTATAGTATTTCTGTTGGAACTTCTAAAAGAATAGAAAGATGTGATTGGTTACGCGGTTACGCGTTACGCAAAAATATGTGCCATGGGACTCCACCCTCAAGCTTCTCTCTGACTTCAATAACGAGTTACAGAATCCCAGCACTGGGCCCTGATTCTCGAAAAATATCGCATACGATATTTCTATGAAAAGCTACAATTCATGTTATGTATATTTTTATCGAAATATCGGATGTTTACGATAATTCGAGTTGGAGTTTGTACGAGTTAGTTTCATTAGAGCTGAAAAATATGATAGTCACAAGCATCTAGTATTTTCATGATTCATGACAACTCAATGCTGTCCGATAAATCGAGCAGAGTTATAGCGTGTTCGACTAGCCCTGGGTTAATCGCTCCGAGAGCGATTAATGACGTCATAAGCCTCTACTAGCCAATCATAAAGCTTATAAGTACTTGTTCGACCAATAATCGTAGGCTGAATAACCAAGAGTGGGTTAACCCAGAGCCAGTCAAACATGCTATTAGGGTAGCATAGCAGATAGTATATATGTAAGAATTAACAGTATCAGGAAACATAGTTTCGTAAAATATATAACAATAATATTACGAAACAATGAGTTGTTACATTTTAGAAAAATTAAAAGCACTAAATTAAATTATGAAAAAGTATCATGTATTTGTGAAATGTCCAAAAGTAGAAAACAATTATTCTAACCAATTATTAATCTATTATTATTGAATATTTCACAAATACATGATACTTTTTCATAATTTAATTTAATGCTTCTAATTTTTCTAAAATATAATAAATTATTGTTTCGTAATATTATTGTTACATATTTTACGAAACTATGTTATCTAATATTGTTAATTCTTATACATATACTACCCGCTATTCTACCCTAACTCTACTCGATTTATTGGACAGCATTGAGTTGTCATAAATCATAAAAATACTAGATGCTTGTGCCTATATCATATTTCTTGGCCCTAGTGAAACTAACTTGTATTTAGGCTGCGTTCCGAAATTCACTGCCAGTACTGAAAATCTATAGCTCATGTCACGTATACTATAGAATTTCAGCACTGGCAGTGAATTTCGGAACGCAGCCTTACTCCAACTCGAATTATAAACAGCCATCGTATACGATATTTTCCAAGAATATGGCTCCTGATTTTTAAATTATATCGTGTAGAGATTTTCCTTGGTACCAACATTATCCCCTCCACTTTTCGGAAAACTGTCGCCTAACCCAATCGGCGTGTAACTCGCCTAATAATTACTAGCTCGAGAGCGAATCACGGGCGTAACGTTCCTTCCAATTACCATCTTCGTTCAGCCGACGGTCGCAAAGTTGGCTGCAATGGCGGAAACGCGAGTTGTACCGCCGATGCACGGAATGTACGCATGAGTGCGATAAGAGATCGCGTCAATCAACTTTTGCACGGTCTGTACCGCTTTTCTGACGTCTGGACCGTCTCGGTCGTGTACACGTGCGCATTGATCAATTAATGATTTAGGGATGAAGAAGGAGCTTATCGCGAGCTAAACACGCGAACCGCGTCCGATTCTGCGGTCCGAGGCGTCCGTTACTGAGTGCTTTGTCATGGTATGTAAAATCACGACGCGAAAACGAAAATACGCGCGTCGCGTGCGAGCGTTTGTGACTGACAGGGTTTTCAAATCGATATATTGCTTGTCGCACGAATCAGGAGGAAGGCAAAGCAATCAGTTGCAAGGATAGGATGGACGCTGAACGGCACAGGGTCTGCGAGAGCGACGAGATCGAGAATTCCGATGAGAGTGACAGGCCGTCCGGCGAGAGATGGGCTCCTGTTGGCGCGAACGACGGCGACAATGAATTCACGGACGAATACAAATACGTCAATGCCATGGAGAAGTGCGTCGGCGACTTATCTCTTTCCTCTTGTCAAATGTCAAGCTGAACGTGAGCCTGTGTTGCTCCATTGTTGGAGAAACATGAGAGACACTCAATGTATAGAAGTGCCTTTACAAAGACAAACAGTGAATGTGCTTTTGTGAAGGCACAAAGTTTTAAAATAGCTGAAGCATATGATTCAAATTGTGCAATGTAAAATGTTCTATATTGTATGATAGCTAATAAACCAAGAGAAACAGAACAGCCTGTAATAGGTAACAGGACAAATTTATATATAATTTGAAAGACACAGGCAGTAGAGAATTAATTAGAAACACTAGACAGATTTCAAACAGCTGTTTTAATTCACTGATTAATCAAAGCAGTATTATAATAGCTGCTGTGCGTGAACTAATGAGATAATACTCTTATTGATAGCCTTACCTACGATATGGAAAGAGTCAAGATGTTGGAAGAGGAACAAGAAATGTTAAACTCATCTCTAATAGCATTAACTACTCACTTTGCTCAGGTATGATAATACATAGAATACATACATATATTGAATATATTCTATGTTAAAAATTGAAATATATATCTGTATTTAAAAACCAAAACAAAAATATAGGATAAAATATATACCCAGGCATTGATACTTTTTTTTATCTTATGTATATTGATCCAACTGAACTTCTCATAGGTTCAGTTTCGCCTCCGACAAATTGTAGATGCGCCAGCCAGTGAGAAGGAGACATTGCTCAAAGAGTTAGAAGAATTTGCATTTAGGGGAATACCAGATGTACCAAATAACTTACTGTTAGAGAGCAGATCTGTCACACCAATTTCCCCTGTACCATGTGATCGAAGTGTAAGCTACAATACAGAGAAAAGACATTCCGCAGCTTTTCCACATAAACAAATTTTCAGCAATTAGTTTCCCTTTTACAGTGTGATATTTTCTTGCTACTTTGTTAGCAGCATTTTTGCTTTGAACGCATATTGTGTGTGCTTATGTATGTGTGCTTACATATGAATACGATAAAAGGTACATTTTGTCATTTTCTTCTAGTTATTTCTTAAAATATTTTTTATTATTTTATTATATATCTATATTTTGTTATACTTTATCACACACATGTATATTTAATTTTCATTGTATTTATTTTGTGTTCTTATATTTTTTAATTCTTCTTTTAACATATACAAATTTTTCTCTATTTTTTTTCTATTCCTTCAATTTATTTTAGTACCTGCGCATCTCATCCTTTATTCCACGTGTGATTAACGAGGACAAGATCGCAACGGATAAACACACGCTTACATACGCCTGTCACAATTTTCTAAACTTTTCGGCTACAGCACTTGAAAGACAGCAATGGAAATCGTAGAGGAACACCTCATAATAGTTAATTTAACCGCATCGACTTGTAACGTGAACTGTAGGTAAATGGTGTGATCACCGATGCGGAGATCGAGTCTAAAATGGCGTTGCAAAGAACGAAACAGAGAGAACTGATAAGCCAACTGAAATCTCAACTGGAGGATCTGGAGAAGTACGCGTACGAGACAGGCGACGCTGATCTGCCGCAGAGTGTTATTCTGGAGAGACAAAATATCATAATTAGTGAGTCTTATTGTCGCACATACTAAGTTCTTTAGCACCAAAAGCAATTTTACATCGCTAAATTCAACACTCGCAGGTCACCTGAAGGAAAAGTTGAACTTTGACGTCGACGATCTGTGCAAATTGCCGGCAGATGATCTCAGATGGCAAGTCGATTACGCGATAAGTCAAGTACGTAAAACACGATTGCTCGCGATCTCCACCTTGCAATAATAGTCGCCATTCAAACCAATTAACACGTACATATCACGCGACAGATTGTCAGCCCGTTAAAGATGAAGGAGCAACTGGTCTCTCAGCTGAAAACGCAGATCGCCGACTTGGAGCGTTTCATAAACTACCTCCAAGGCGAGGTCAGCACGGAAACTTTGGCGTGCACATGCGCGTGCCCAGTGCACGCCGGCGGCTCGGGGCCGAGCACCGGCTCCGGCACTTCGAGCTCATACGGCAAGCGTCACTTCGACAGAAAACCCATCGAAGAGGACGGCAACCGCACCAGGACGCTCAACACCGTGCGGAAGGTGGTCGCGCTCCTGCACATGTTCCTGATGTCGCAGCTGGGCTGCGGCAGTGAGCGCGTGCGTCGGAACTTCAAGAAGAATCCAGTGCACAACTGGCGCGATCTGCGCACCAGGCTGGACATCGCCGTGGAGCACGTGCTAGAGACGATCGCCGAGGCATCGCAGCGGCATCCTGACGAGGAGGACGACGATATGGACAATGAGAACGACTACACGTCCGACTCGGACTCGGCGTCGCACGCAAACGCGAAGCTCACGTCCGCGGTGAGGAAGCATTTGGCCGCCTCTATCCGAGATTTGATACAGCACGGTCTGACGTCCGACGTGCTACGCTCCACCAGCGTGGTGCCGTTCGTCGGCTGCTTTCCGCAGCGGAACGTCTCGTCGTCCAATTTCATGCACGCCTGGGAGCTGATACTAAAGTACTACGAGATCAAGAACGGACGACGCTACAACTCCAGTCCAGCGCAGAAGTTGTCGCAGAGCTTTAATTTGGATCTCGCGGCTGGCAGAATGGCGTCCTCCAAACAAGTATGACTAGCGTTCGTGTGATATCTTAGCGGTAAGGTATATTCGAGTGTATCTTTAACGTTCTGTTGTTTCTCGTTCTCTCTCTCGTCTAGAGCTTACTCACGACCATAGGTAACATTATCACCTCCCACAGCCCGTACAAACGAAGCTACGACTCGCATTTCAAGGCGTTCATATGCGCGGCTTTGAAGTAAGTAACGCGACTGTGTCGCGATTCGAGTTACTCGTTATAATTAGTAGTTTTCTATTACGATTTGAGTTGCAATTGTTTATCAATCGGTTGTTATATCTATAGCTGCTCAGCCGATCGACTAATCGTTGTTTACTTTCTCAGCGCAAATAAGCTCGTGGTGTGGCTGAAACTGATCTTACAGTGCCAGTACCTTCTGGAGCACTATTACCTCTCGTGGAGTTACGTTGTGAAGACAGGTATATTTATATGTCGATATTACAATAATGGTCCAACAAAGCTTTTGAACGGTGATATTTCCCGAGCAGGCTTCCAAGATGCGTTTCACACCTTGGATCGCCTCACTAGTTACAAGTTCGACTTACCGGTGGACCTGGCTGTGCGACAGTTTCAGAACATTAAGGATGCGTTTTGATCGTGCCGTATCAGGTGCAGTCTTATCGTTTCATGCAAATGACAACGTAGGTAATTGTAGAACGTACGTGTACTTTCAGTATACACTTTCTGTAACACACGCTACAAACAGAGTTATACGAGCAAACAGTACATAGTCACTCAGAATATCGAAACATACTTTCTTTTGAGTTTAAAAATGCAATTGAATTTCTGACCCAAGAGAGATACTTAACCGATCTATTTCGCAGTGATTTATCTCCTCTGCATGTCAACCCATATGCCGTCGAAAAGTTTGTCTTTTCTCCGAGATAAATATCGCAGAAACGTTCATTTCTCATTCCCTGAGTGTTCGTTGTATTAAATGCACATAGAGTTGAATTGCAATAATTAATAGGTGTAATTATATTTACTTTGTAAGAGGTATCATCAGTATTGTATAGATCAGTTATGAATGTATAAAACTTTATTTCTCTCGCTTGTCACGCACGACAGGCAATATCTATGTATAGTCTGCAAACCTTAAGAGGGGAACCTGATTAGAATCCACGATATGTCTATATACAGATGTTTTTCATCGCGGCACGCATATATAAACACAAATATTGCCTGACGTTAATTAAAGAGACGTACTGAATCAAGCGAAACTAGTCATCCCGAAAGAAAACATTCCGTATTTTGCACGTCAAACGCGAAGTCACAAACATTTATGAGCATACTTAAAGGAAACATACCAAAAATGTGTAATATCACGATGTAACGCGGCTAGAGTTGCTGCATTGGACGCAATTTGTATATCGTAAGGCGTCCCATGTATATCTGTATGTATAAGTTAGCATGCATATATATATATATATATATATATATATATATATATATATATATATAAGAAAATAATGTAATATATATATACGAGGCGTAAACCATCTGCTTTTTATAAGACGATGAATTATTTTAAGTTAGTTCCACGGATAGAGATACACTGTTGCAAAAAATATATATACTTACGATGCAATGATGTAAAGACGTGAGTTTGTGACTTATTCCTTGATCACACTCTCTTTACGTTGGTTTCAGACACATTTTACCGGTTGTGTAAAATTAAGCATCTAGTTGCACCAACCGAGTAGTAAGCTAACTGACAGTTAAATCATATATCTATTTTTGTTTATTTTGAAGGGAAAACAAAGATGGATGTGATTTAACTGTTAGCCTAGCACTCGATTAGTTGTAACCGAGTTTAATATGTATACTTAAAGATTAGAGTGAAACACACGTCACTGATATAATCCAGAGTAATACGAAATCGGTCGTTTATTTCTTGTAAAGGTTGTACATCGGCAAAAAGTCTCGATAGTAGTACTTCCCACTTCGACGTGTTCGTGGTACAATTAGATCGATTATTGATTCAGCGTGATACTCCACAATTAAGTAGTTTATTGGTAGAAATAGTATATAAAGGCAGTATTGTCGGCAGTACAGACTCGTGAAACATTACAGTTATTTACAAAAATCACTACACCGAATTTGCTTGGAAGAATTCACGGGTTACGTTATAAGTTCGGGTAGTCGTATCCACATCGATGCTCGAGTAGGGGTTTACGTCGATACTGTTAACGATAACGATGCAAACCTAATCGTTGATCAGCGATCAGTAATCAGTGATCACTCGCGGAAATTAATCGTGCGACAAGATCCAGGAGTCACTGTTACATCTATTATAGTTTACGATTATTCGCTGAATAGAAAATATTCATCAAAAAAAAAGGATCATTATAAAACACGTATATAGCGTATAGTGCAGACGATTCCCCATATAGATACGTTGCTTAACAATAAACATTTATTGGAATGTAATCAGACATGTGATGAGATGCGATCAGTCGATTCGTTTCAGTCGGTTTCGCTAAAGTTACAACAAGTCGAACAAAATAGCGAACTATTCTCCCCAACAAGCTAGCTAGCAAATCGAAAAACGGGAACTATACAGGGTGTTCGGAAAGTACCGGGACGCCCGAATATCAGGAAAA